CGATATCCCTGATCACCAAAGGCGGTCCAATAATTGTCACATAGGCTCCAGCTGCGTGTTTTTTCTGTGTTCTTCAGAGATATTGAGCAATCCTGAACGTAGATTGTTGATGAAATAAGTCCTAAGCTTGCCTTAATATGGCTAATCCTGTTCGTCTTAAAATGTTCAAGTTTCAGCCAGAATTGATTACTGATAAAAACTATGTAATATGGTTTTGAACACACGTACTCGCAAGTCATAGTAACAACAGCCTGGACGCCTGGCGTTGTAGTCTCCATAGGCGGAGTGGCGTCGGCCTGCGGCTGTAACACTGAGCGATGGCCAATAAGCAAACGAAAAAAGATGACGCATATTGTAGAAGATGACTGGTAAACTGGGTAAGTCGGCATGTACATGTGGTGGAAAAGTAAGCTAAACACAACCTACATCTGAAACGTGGGGGGGGGGGCAGTTAACGCTGCTGCCCTCTCACTTTGAAAAGTAGGGGGGCATGACCCCCTGGCCCCCCGTTCTTACGCACATGGTTGTACAGTTACACAAGTCGGACGCGCAAGTAGCTGGTTATTTTCGTCTTGGGTTTTGAGATGGATGTCCAGCAAGTCCACCAATCTAAGCGGAGCTTGCTGCTGGGAGAACTCCCGGAGCCAGCTCCATGAATTTGGGCACAAGTGCATGAATATAACTACATCAGAGCATGAATATGGAGCATGAAGCAAGTTAAATATGAAGTGAGTTACAAACTTGCAGGCCAAAAATCGCAATATTCTCAAATACGTTGGTTACGTTAAAGAGAATGTTCCACATTTGTATGGCGTTGGTAGCCGAGTCTTGGTAGCCGAACCTTACCATCTTTACCAAAGCAATGGTAGTTCTTTGGCAATCAATCCATAGCAACGTTATAATCTATTAATTTTCGCATGACACCGCATTTCCAGCTACAAAAAATACAGAAACTAACTATTGTGCACGTCATATGATATCAATGTCAGGACTACAGCATTGGAGGCAACGATGGGTCGACAATAAAGTATTGACAAAATCGTCAACAGCACAGCAGCAACAGCAGCAGCAGAGCGCATCGTGCTTTGATTTTAATGATCTGCCATAAGAGCTAGCGATTGCTACGTTGCGTATGCCAAACATTCCACCAAAGCTTTTCTTACAGCCAGCACCAAGACAAAAAATACACCAACAAACCACCAACTACTTCCGCCAGCCGACACAGCCCCCGCGACGAGAATGGCCGGTTGGCGTCAGCTTCTGCGTGTTTCGAAGCATTCTATAGGTCTGTCTGTCAGATGCTGCCAGGCTTTACTGTCGTCACAAAACCATTCTATGACAGCATCAAACAATGACGTAATGGAGCGCATTTTTACAAGATTTGAAATTTTGCTAGTTGGCGTCGTTTTTGAACCTTTAAAGCTTACCAATAGTTATAAGTAAGCTTTTCCCATCATATCTGATGCCCACCTCAATATCTTCAAATGTGGAACATTCCCGTTAATGTGCGTTCACGAAATGCTTGCGGATGATGTTCTTAACGATGGCTTTTGATGCAGTGATATCAGTTATTCTTGGAAAATATGAGATCATAATGTTGTTCATTAGCCTAGGGCCAAGGCAAGATGTTGTAAATAGTACATAATTACGATTAGAGAGAAGTCAGTCTAAATGCTTTTGTCGCCTCAGTGAATCCATTTTTTTATTCGTAGCGCTTGTAGATTAAACCAAATGATGCAGAAAGCTTAGAGTTTAGAAATTTATGCATCACAAGGCGCAGTTGGGAATTCAGCGATATCCAAGAGTTTCAACAATTTGTATTGTTTAAAGATTGGCTCAGAGGCTTGTGGGGGGATACGTTTTCTATCAGGCGCACAGCCTTTTTCAAAAATACTAACCTATCTAGTTGAAAAACATAAGCCATATCCCAAATTAAGCAGCAGCAACTGAAATAACGAAGAATTGAAGTGTTTTAGGGGACATGTGACGTTGTTTTGTCACTGATATAGCTATTCTTGCTTATTATTTCAATATTCTTATTGAATATGCTTGCAACAAAATCGTTATAGCGCGTAAGTTAAAGATATTTTTTCAATGAGCGCACCAAGTTATTTGACTTTTTTCCTGTTCAAAAGGTAAATTGCTAAGTTGCATATTTAGCTTAAAACACGAAGAAAGCGTAGTGTAATGCTGTGTAAATGTTTTTTGATACCTTTGCCGAAAGACAATGGCATGTAAGCGAAGTTTTGGTTCGGTGCGTGGAAAAAATGAATTGAAAGCGAGAAAATTTCGAGAGCATTTTCAAGACCATGTTGGAAAAAGCAGCAAAAATGTGATGGAGATTTGAATCCAACCTATCCACCCGGCGTAAGATTTCAGTGTCAATGTTTTGCCTACATTTAAGCAGTGCACACCAGGGATAAGCGGTATCTAAGAGACGCTTGCAGCTTGGAAAGCATAGATCACTACGTATCGGTCATCCAAGTAGGAAAAACAACACTTCTTTAAATAGCCTTCCGACGCACTTAGCAGGTCGACGTCAGATTGTATGCTGAAAGTCTTCCTCAACTCTTATATTTTGGGAGTAAATGTCCCATACTTAGTCCCAGATAAGGGGCACGTAACCGACCGAACATGCATCAGTGTTTTCAGCGTGTCTTCTCCGAATATTGCAATGTTACGAATAAGTCGAACGCCAAAGGCACCACAAAATGTCTGAATCGGGTATCTAACATGGGAAACCTACGACACGGCTCTTTCCTCGCTTCGACTCAACCAATCCATATGTACTCACAACTGTCATCGTGAAAAAGGCTCAGTCAACATGTCTGCCGCTCTCGAAAATAACGCACAAAATATACTCCTGCACAAACTTTTTGCGATGCAATTAGGCGAAAAACAGACCGCCGATCTGTGTCCATGCACTCATGGCCGCCGTCATACCGGATCATATTCGGCAACCAACAAAGAAAACAACTTTTTGCAGGAATGAGGAAAGCGGCGAGCGCATCTTCTGATCCCCAGTCGTGTGAGCGTCGTTGACCTAAAATATAACGGCTTTTCCAGGAGATCGCGTAGCAGAAACACCAAGCGCGGTCCGCCGTTTGTGCAACACAGCAAACAACAAACAAGCAACAACAAAAAAACAGGAGCTCTCGCACATAGTAGTCCTCGCAAGCATAACCCCCTCCCATGCCAACTTGATGGCACGTACTTAGGTGTACGCGCCCAGCTCTTGGCGGTGAAGAATGCCACTTAGACACACACAGATGGAAAGATCGAGAACATGACATGCTGTTTCACGACATGACATGTCATGCTGTTTCACGACATGACATGACATGCTGTTTTTACCCGAGAAACTGTTCTCGCCTGAGGCGGACATAACTTGGTCTTAATTGTTGAGTTGTGTCCACCCCCACCACACTGCCAGTTCTAATCCTGCGTTCGTCCTTGCTAATACATCCGGTTCGCGATAAAGGTGAGGGAAGTCGAAGCAAGCGAATCGCTCACATGTGAATCCTTCATGAAATGATGGCAAGCTGTTCAAACAGGTGAATGCCACCGTTTTACAGAGTGGTTTGTACAGCCTTAACACGCGCTTGGGTGGGAGGTCAAATTGACCCCGACCTCAAAAGGGTTTGTGACTTTTTGCTTAGAAACAGTTGCCTAGGTTCTGGGGGCACTATAGAGACCAACCTGGAATTTTAACATTATTTCACCTTATTTGGCCTGAAGACCATTGTCTAGAAAGCTCAAGCTTTGACCTAGGTGAGTTTACGTACAGTTTAAGATGGTGTTGCTAGCTCTTTTAGTTCCCGAGATCTCAGAGGGGCGTTCAAAATGACCCCCCCCCCGAGCGAAGGGTATCTAGCCGGCCACCCGGGCGCGTGTTAAGGTAGCGTGGACTGGTGGTGCTAGTCTAAAGTCCATGCCATTTAGATCTGTCTTCTAGACTTTAGGGTGTCTGGCTGGAATTTAGGTTTGCCACACAATCGTTAGCCGAGGCATGATCATGATCATAGAATGATGAACGTAGCATGATAGAGCTCTTGTAATCTCCGCTGAGGGACATGAAATGAGGGCGAAACGAAGTATGTCATTTTTGGCCGGTTTTATTATGAACACTTTGGAAGCACACGTTTGCGGTGGACGTATATTAGGGTGGCCATTGTTTTGGCCTGTTGTAACTTTTCCGGTGGGACCATGTCGAATGCTTGCATTTGGCGGAAAAACAGGTTGAGAAAAGTGTTGAGAAAAATAAAACATATTAAGGGTTCTCAAAACAACCAAACTTCATCAAAAGCATGGCCGACAGGCATTGAACATTTTGAGGTTTTAGTGCGATAACATGTGGCGGTGAATATTTGCTTGGGTTGCCTGCTCAGTGATATTAATTACAGAAAAGGGCGCTTTTTTCTCCAACTTCTCAAAATATGTAACACAGCCAGCTATGAGTGAGGCACTGATTCCGCGAAACCTTTAGTTTTGTCTTCGATTTGCCAGGATCGATGACGCAACCAGCATGAGCTCCACAAGGATTCCACGAAACCACTAGTGTTGCTTTCAATATGCTAGAATATGTGCTGCAGTGCAGCCAAGCACGTATTTAACACGGGTTACACAAAACAACTCGCTCTGCTTCCATCTGCCGGAATATGTGACACAGCCAAGCATTCATTCCACCCGAATTCCTCAAAAAGTGCGCTTTCCTTCAATTTGCTTAAGTCTACGACACAGCCAACTACAAATTTCATTGGGCCGCTCGGCCATGGCTCTCTCTGTCGGGAGGAAGCCCCTGCCTCCCTGACATGGGCTGACGTCACAGCGGCCCGCCCCGCTCCGAACTGATGGGCGGGGTTGAAGGACACGCCCGTGGCCGCAGCCGAGAGAAGCGAGGCGCAGCCGGACCGCCTCCGGGCACGGCTCTACCTGGACCGCCTATATAACGCGTCCAGCTCCTCCAGCCAGCACAGTCAGTCCTCCTGCAGCGGGGAAGCATGAAGGTTCTGGTAAGTGAAGCCGCTAGAGTGTGCGTGTTCGGCAGCGGTGGGACCCTTAGCATTTGTAGTTTTGATGCTTATGTGCAAGACTAGGTGTTCTATCGCGTCGCTGTGACCTGCTATAACGTGTTACTTGCCAGACGTATAGCGAATTATTTGGTATTTCCAACCAGCCGTATTCCGCTGGAAAACGATACATTTGTCGCAAAACATTGGTATATGTACACATTTCATGGAGTAGTGCCAGGAGTTTTATGTCCCGCTTATTACATGAGCGACAGCTGATTTCTTTAGCCATGTGCCACATTTCCGACAGCAAGTATGTTATATAATCCGCAAGGAATCACTGAAATTTGTCTGATATATGCACCCCTATAGGCACCAAACAGCAACGTTGTACTCAATGACAAACATGATAATCAAAATGAGTTGGATGGCACTCGTAAAACGACTTACACTCTCACAACGAGAAAAACGCAGGCATAAAAAAAACTGAAAAGGCCATTTTCTATAATTTCATGATACCAGCACAGAACATTCAAGCGATTAAAAAACCTAGAACAATTGGCAACTTCCTAGCTTGAAGCTAATACTCAAATTGCAAAGGGTTGCAAAATTGCAGGTATATGAAGCTCAAATCAAAAATAGAAATCAATTTGCGGATACATGACGTCAGCATGCATATGATAAAACTGAAGAGCAGATGCCGCAATCCTGAAGTACGGTATCCCAAAATTTCACCTAAGTGAACATCATCGCCTTGCTTTCAAGACATAGGTCCAAAACTCCCCATCCATAAATCCAAAAGCATAGCTTCACCAATGCCTTATGCCCTGTATGCTGGTTCCAGTTAGTTCGCGGTCGTTTGGAGAAGGATCTGTTTGCTTCAATGCAATACGATCAAGTATTGCTCAATTATAAGCAAGTTCCCACTATTCAGCCCAACCGTCTGTGTTCCCGCAGGTCGCACTGTCCGCTGTCCTGGCGCTGGGCGCTGCCCAGTACTCGCCGGTTGGGTACCCGTACTACGGGTACAGCCCGGTGAGCTACTACGCCGCCGGCGCGTACAACCATTACGCTCCGACGGTGTACAGCGCGGCGCCAGCCGCTACCGTCAGCTCGCAGTACCACGCTCAGGATGAGCTGGGCCAGTTCAACTATGGGTACGCCGGAGGCCCGTCTGCCAAGAACGAGTTCAGGAGGTTCGATGGCGCCACCGTTGGCAGCTACAGCTACATAGACGCCAACGGCAAGGTGCAGACCGTCTCCTACACGGCCGACGATGTCAACGGCTTCCAGGTGAAGGCGACCAACCTTCCTGTGGCCCCGGAGGCGAACCTGCAGGCGCCCGAGTTCAACCTGGAGGCGCCCGTGTTCGACGGCGTGGCTCCCGAGCCGGTGCAGGACACGGCCGAGGTGGCCGCCGCCAAGGCCGAGTTCCGCAAGAAGTACGCCGAGGCGGCGGCCGCTGCCGCCGCTGCGCCCGACACCGACGCCCCGGAGGCTGCCGAGGAGGAGGCGGCCGTCGCCCCTGCCGAGCGTCGCCGTCGCAGCGCTGTGCTTCTGCCCGCCCTGGCCAAGGCCACCTTCAAGACCGCAACTCTGGATAAGGTGGAGGCCGACACCCCGGCCGACACCACCCTGCTGAAGGTCACCGAGAAGGAGCACGAGACGTACGTGCCCAGCGTGGTCTCTTACGCCGCCCCCGCCGTCCACTACACCGCCCCCGTGGTCTCCTACGCTGTCCCCGAGGTGAAGAAGGTTGAGGTCAAGCATGTGGCCTCTCCCATCACATACGCTGCCTCTCCTCTTCCCCTGGCCTATGGCCTGCACCCGTACGGCTACGGTGCCCCTCTCATCTACAACGTGGAGGCTAAGGAGGAGACTGCCGCTGTCGAGGAGGCTGCCGAGGAGGAGCCGGCCGTCGTCGCCGCCGAGCGTCGCCGTCGCAGCGCCGTGCTTCTGCCCGCCCTGGCCAAGGCCACCTTCAAGACGGCCACCCTGGATAAGGTGGAGGCCGACACCCCGGCCGACACCAGCCTGCTCAAGGTGACTGAGAAGGAGCACGAGACGTACGTGCCCAGCGTGGTCCCTTACGCCGCCCCCGCCGTCCATTACACCGCCCCGGTGGTTTCCTACGCTGTCCCCGCAGTGAAGAAGGTTGAGGTCAAGGCAGCCCCCATCACCTACGCTGCTAACGCCTTCGCCTACGCTGCTCCTGCTATCACATACACCACCCCCGTGGTCAAGAAGGTTGAGGTTAAGCACGTGGCCTCTCCCATCACGTACGCTGCCTCTCCTCTTCCCCTGACCTATGGCCTGCACCCGTACGGCTACGGTGCCCCTCTCATCTACAACGTGGAAGCCAAGGAGGAGAGTGCCGCTGTCGAGGAGGCTGCCGAGGAGGAGCCGGCCGTCGTCGCCGCCGAGCGTCGCCGTCGCAGCGCCGTGCTTCTGCCCGCCCTGGCCAAGGCCACCTTCAAAACAACCACTCTGGATAAGGTGGAGGCCGACACCCCGGCCGACACCACCCTTCTCGAGGTCACCGAGAAGGAGCACGAGACGTACGTGCCCAGCGTGGTCTCTTACGCCGCCCCCGCTGTCCACTACACCGCCCCTGTTGTTCGCTACGCCGTCCCGGAGGTGAAGAAGGTTGAGGTCAAGACGGCCCCCATCACCTACGCTGCCTCTCCCCTTCCCCTGACCTATGGTCTCCACCCGTACAGCTTCGGCACTCCTCTGATCTACAACGTGGAGGCCAAGGCTGCTGAAGTCGAGGAGAAGGCTGAATAAACAGTTTTTCCATCTAAACATTGAACGGCAGACAGCTGCGTTCGTTACATGTCTTGTCCTGTCTTCCATACTGCAGCGTCCGTTGTTCCAGTTGTTGACATGTGTCCATGTGTGATATGCTTCGGCCATTACCCGTCGTGATTGCACCATTCGTCATGCTTCCAGTAACTGGGAATACAAGGTTCACGTCCTATGTACTCCATTGTTTTATCTCGCTGCAGAGCTTGTGCGAAGGCGACGGTAGTTTTGATAGCGGATGTAAAAAAATAAAACAATGCTATCACGTAGTAATATGAAAAGCCTTTGCTGATGGACCCACATCCTCAATGTGGAAGGTCAAACTATAGCATAACGTGCCAATGCCAGACCCACATAATAAGATGTAAACCGCATGTGACCAGACCATTCTTAAGTGTGTTATTTTGTATCATAGATCCCTTACAAGGTAGCCAGATGGGTTCAATGGAATGCGCGTTTTTGATGGTAGGCAACCAAGCCGAGGCGGTAGCGCTCTTGCACAACTAAGGAAATCAATTGAATGCTTCCCACTAGATGTCTCTGGTGACTGGGATTCCGTCCGCCATTGCCGAACACACGTTTCGAGCTAATCGTTCCATCGCTCTGACAATTTCCAAAGAATGCATATAGTTCTTGCTACATCTTCTGTGGATATTGTCAGCATGTCCATTACTAGGAAATGTACTTCCACCAACATGGGGCACCTAGTTTGTCCTTAAGGGCTAAGGGAAACTTTCTTTTGATATCGCTAGCCTTATGTCCATAAACTCTCATCTTTTCATCGATTTATATCCTCTGACGACTGTAGCTGACCTTGCCAGGCGTAACACAAAAGTCTGCCTCTTTTACTTCCAGCACGCCATGATAAGAAAAAAGCATTGGTCTTAACAGACCCGAATGAGTAACTTACAAGCCCCAATGGCGTACCTAGGAACGCATAAAACGTAATGTTTCATCAGCATGTGAATAAGGCAAGAACTAGCTATTAAGATTTAATGGAGCACTAGAAGGCCGGATGCTAAGTTGTTTTTATGTGATACGCAAGTTAGGAGCATTTTAAGGTCGGAGCTTGCATTAGCATACTGTTTTGACAGCTCTGAAAAGCGTTTTTGTGAGCTTGCGCTGTGAGCGTTTAGGTGTGACCTGTTCTAGGGAGCAAGGATTGGCCCACGACAGGTACAGTTGCACCTGGCAATGAAATGCATTAAAAGATAAGACGCTCGGAGGAACAGTCTGATTTCTAGCAAAAGGAGACCACATGAACCCACAAGCCTGGACCTGCGTTTCTTAAAATCCAGCTACGCGCGCAATTCAATTAGCTCCAGTTTGAAAATATTGCAAAATTTTCCAACTGTAGCACGTTGAGTCGTGTACCTAACACATAAGGAATAAGGAGAGTGCATGTTACATAAGGAACCCGCATAGAACTTTCCCACGTAACACACGAAGATCAGTTGGGTGATCGCTGCTTTCTTGCAATACCCATGGCTGCATTTCATCGCTTTTTGACCATGTGGCCATTTTGGTCTTGCCTGAGATCTCTTGGCTGACATAAATTTCAAAAGCTGTGAATACGACACACATGACACAGCCGGGCGCGGTTTAAAGTGACTTTTTTGAGCATTTAGAGCAGACGCGAAAGCAGGTGGAGGCAGGTCTAATCGGGGTCTTGTCGAAGTACAATACAAATATTTTCTTTGCAGGCATAGGTACACTTCAGACTAGGTCGCAAGACATGATTTAGGCTTTTTAGTGTGGCCATGAAATCACTGCTGCGCAAGGATGAATTTGGGAAAATTTAGAAAGAAGAAAGCTGTTGTCCTGCGGCCCAGGACACGTCGACCGGTGACTTACAGCCTCACGGACGCACCTTGGTTCCAAGGAAAATCACAAGCGGTAACCACGCAAGCGACATTATCAGGTGTACAGTGGTAGCTTAGTGCTAGAAAATGTGCTGTAAACAAACTTTGTTCAAAAGTTGATGAAAAAATAGAGATTGAGAAGCGCTAAAAACTAGACATGGAAAAGGATTACGTAAATGAGTATTTTACCACGCGGTATTAATATCATTCTTTGGGCCATACAGGCACTTCTTCTTCAATTGCGTCTTCAAAAACACAAAAGTTGTGTTCGTCACGGAGCTGTGCTGCCAAAGCGTTGTCAAAATGATAGTAAATATTTCGTGACATCACCTGGTTTGCTCAGCTGCGTGCAAACGCAGTCTCTTTCGTAAAAAGACAAGATATCGTTCGTGAACTTTGCAATAAGTTTTGCTTTCATGCGCTCCCTACAGTTTGGTGACGTCACTGGTGCCGAGTACAGTTTGGTGACGTCACTGGTGATGCGGGGCAGCCAGAGCATCGGAAGTCCTCGCACAGATCATGGCCAAATTGCTAGGGGAAGTTGTACATGATTTGCAGGCGATTACAAATAATCCAATGGCGAATATGATGGCAGGGGTGGTAAAAGTGTACTTTTGTCACCGAACAAATTTTGGAAAAAAATTGTCGCCAGCAGCGTAATGTGATGCCAGATGGCAAAATGGTCATCAAGTCCATGCCCAGTAGCGCCATCAGTAATCAGCCTGTAAACGAAAGTCTCTCCATTCACGGCACATTTCAATACCACACACGTAACCGAAACGTTCAGTCATACACTGCCCTTGAACAAGCGTCGGGATAAGTGCTGCTGCTAAGAAAGCAGGCGCACCTGCGCTAGACTAATGAGATAGCCCAGTAACAACACGCGTTTTCTTCCACCCCCGGGCCTTGCCGGGGCATGTCGCCGAAATATCAATTAAAGTTTATCTCCATTCTCCGGGTTTTTCCGAGGAAAAAGGCTAATACTACTGTCTTGTCTATGTGAATCAATCTCCTCGTTATGTACTGAACAACTTGCAGGATGGATTACTGATAAAATTATGTGATATGGTTTTGAATATGCGCGCTCGAAAGTCCTAGATGCAACAGCTTTACGCCCAGCGTTGAAGTCTCCGTGAACCGCGCGGCGGCGGCCTTGCGGCTGACACTAAGCGATGGCCAATGGGCAAACGAAAAAGATGGTGCATTTCGAGGAAGCTGGCTGCTGAAATATGTAAGTCTCCATGTATGCCTAATGTAGTGAAAAAGTAAGCTAAACACAACCTTAATCTGAAAACGGGGGGGGGGGGCAATTAACACTGCTGGCCCCTCACCATGAAAAGTAGGGGGGGGGGGGCGTGGACCCCCTGCTCCCTCTGCTCCTACACACATGACATTAACGCAAAACCATCTTCTCTGGACCTAATCTATTGACCATGATCCATGGGTTACTATCTCCCCCTAATCATGCATACAAATTGGCACTTATCACAAATTGGCACTTACACAAATTGTCATTATGCCATCATCAAACAAACTATGTTGATTTCTTCTATCAATGCAGGCTACGTTTACGGCAGACTATCTGCCTTCACAGCCTGTACTTAAATGTATACAGTGATTATGCTATTGGTTCCATTAGGACGATTTAACAATTCAGTCTTAACAAAAACAGCAATGAAACACACCATATTTGCATCCATGCAATGTCGCACTCACAAGTGCAACGAAAATATGCACATGAATGAGCATTGCAGAGCGAATGACTTCCAGAGTTTCGTATTACAGTAGGGATGCTATCATCAGGAAATAGCCAACATTGTGCTCAGAGACAAACAAATGCCAACCCTTCATTGAACTCATAGGACAGTTGGGCCACAATACCATAAAACCACCTGTTATTTGAAGTAAAACTCTCGGTAGAGGGGAAGGTGGCAATGAAACCTGTACCACCCCTATCTGCTCATTGCGTGTATTTCCTACACACGCCGCTCTACTCCCTACTTGCACTGCACTTGCGTGGCCCACATCATTGGGTATCAAATAAACTTCCAGCAACCAAGACTCACGTTTGCGCCACGTCAAGGTTGGACTGTGAATGATGGTTTAAAAGTTTTTAAAACATTGATGGAATAATTGCATTTCGAGCAGGGGCATAGTTTTTCAAACTAGGTTTGGGAGTAGCAAACATTATGCATTGTACCCTCAAAGTATGGATGTCTTCAAGATTTGCACACATTTTCAGGGGCGGATCCAGTATTTCGGCAAGGGGGTCCACGAGATATTGTGGGCCCCGTCCCTCAAAAATATCTTTGCATTTCTGTCATCACATTTTACGACAAGTAGCTTGTAATGCATGCATGCATATATATATATATATATATATATATATATATATATATATATATATATATATGTGTGTGTGTGTGTGTGTGTGTGTATGCATGTATATGTTTACTTCTTTATTTATCTACTAAATACGAAAACCCGTCTTACTGCGTACAGCCCCATAAAACAGAGGCGTGCTACGCATTCATGCACATAGAGCTCACTCATTTTCTACGGAGCATTTCAAATGCTGTGGTTTTGAGGCTAAGTGTTTCGGATCAGCATGCAAAATAAACTTGAGTTAGCTGATAACAATCATCAAAACCAATCATCCGCTTGATTCCTAGCTTACGTATTTACGGCTAGCCGGCTGGGCGATGCAATCAGCTGATGGCTGAAGATTCGTGCAGAATTGTTCATTTGCTTTTGAGGAGTTCAACATATTAATACTTTAAAAGTATGTTAAGAACATGATGCACTAGTATAAAAGGTGTCACACACTAAATAGGCAATGGAAATGATGCATATGACGTCGGCGGCATGTAAAATTACGCCCGGCTATCGCGCATAGAAGTTCATCTGCGCATATTCGACTGCTGCTCTAAGGCGAAGGCTCCAAGACCAATAGGGACGGAATCTGAGCAATCATGGGTGCCGCAGGAGGCCAACAAAGTGGCTCTTGTCAATAAGTGTAGGGCCCTTAGAGCAAGCAAAAACGCATCAGTTACTCCTGTAAACGCAAGAGTGCAGGTAATCCTGCGGATATCACGGTCTTGGCACTATCGCCAACTTTTGCGGAAGGTCCCTCCGATACAGGGCCCTACATCCGCCTCTGCGTATTCATGTGCCCGAATATCACGAATGGCCGAATATCCGAATATCCGTTAATATCACGAGCTTGCCATTTTCGCCAAATTCATTCGTCAATTTATGTTATTCAATTATTACCGTCCAATTTTACGGGCGTTCCCCCCCCCCCCCCCCACCCCACC